CACGTTAGGCGATTCAAAACTGTAGTTAGCTGATGGAGCGAAGCTGTGTGGGTTCGCAAATTTTCTTTATACCAACAAGTATAAGCCCATCTACAGAAGTCTGCGATTTATGGGCTTTCAAATTTGGGTTGACAACTTGACATGCCAACCGTCTGGGTCTGTACAGTAATAGGTTTCTGCCACCCCCTAAAACAAAATCTTAATACCTAACTAATCCAAAGGAGGTTATGAATTGAGACCAAAGAAAACTGTTTTACAAGGTGAATCGTTTGGAGTTCGTTTTATAAAATTAATTAAATATTTTTAAATTTATTTTTATATTATTTTTTTGGAGGCATTTAATTAATTTTATAAGATGAATTGCATATAATCCATTTTGTAAAATAATTTTTTGTTTGATTTAACCCAAAGAAAACAAACAGGGTTGGCTGCCATTCTAAGTCATGTAAATATCTTATTGGTATGGTCTTTTCTAACATTTTTTAAAAAATTGTTAAATTTGTTCACTATCCCCAAATAACCGATTAATTATTTAATTAGCACTTATAAGTCGTAGCAATAGTCTCAAAGTGGATGGAAAAAATTGCATTCATCATTTAATAACCGAACCATATATGAAAAGGATGAAAGGCATATCAACATCATGTTAGATGTCAAATGCTCTTGTGCTATGTTTGATTCGAAGGAAGAAAATAACTTTTTAATTAATTAAATTATAATATTTAAAAATATTATAATTTAATAAATAATTTTTTTTAATTTTTTGTAAACTATATATATTATTAAATTATTTTGTTTTAGGTAGCCTTGGAAACCCCTAAAGCATAAAGCCACAGGCTACAATGAAACCAAAACAACCAAGGGGTGGTTTGGGAGAGCTTAAAAGTATGTTTGTTTTTAAGCAAACATTTTTCATAAATTTGAAACTTTATTAAAAAAATTTAAAAATTAACTTTTAAAATAAGACATTAATTAATATACTATTGAATTCAACATATTACACAGTATATATTAAAAAATTATTTTTATAGTTTAAAATTAAAAGTAGATAAACTTTTTTTTTTTATGTAAAAAGTAGGTAAACTTAAAGGTGCAAGCATATATATAGAATGTAAGAACTAACTAAATTAACTGTATTTATATTATATTTTCATAAATAAATTAAAAAAATATAAAAAAATGTATTAAATCAAAAAATATATTAATTATTTTCTTTTTAAATAATCAATGAACAATTAAATTTTAAGAAAACAACACATTCTAACTTTTTTTTTTAATTTATTAAAATTATCTTTTTGGTAAATCAAGTAGTGCTTTAGTTAATGTGATATCAAAATAAATTTAGAAATTATTGCATATTAGTCTTGACTCAATAAAAAAAATTAGAGTCTTAGCTTCGAAAACACAACTATCTAATGAATATTGTTAAAAATCAATAATTAAAGTTAATGTTCTAATGATATATATCATGCATATCAATTTTCAAGTTAATCTAAAATTTATAATTAATCAATCAAAAAACTTGTAATTTATAAACATATGTTTAACAGTATTAAATTTTATATAATCAATGAACTAGTTAGATATATTCAATTAATTTGAAAATTGACATGTTAGATCTATATGAATAACCTACTAAATTTAATAGTTTTTTTTTTATAAATATTCATTAGAATATAGTGTTTTTAAAATTAAAACTTTAATTTTATTATGAAAAAAGAATTAATACACATCATTCTCATAAATTTATGTCTTCATAATAAATATATAAGCGTTTGCAGTTTCACATTTTAAATAAAGAATTTTTTTCTGCTCATAAAAAAAATGTCAAGAATATTTTCTTTTTAAACACCTTAACTATAGAACATTTTTTTTTACTGTAAGAAATATGGTTAGTAAATTAATATATATTCAAGAACCAATTAAAAAAATTAATTTAATAATCATATACTACACTCTACCTTACTTCTTACTTACTTCTTACGTGGAGAAATGTGAACACTTAAATCACACAAGAAAGTGCTAACTATAGAACTTTAATTACAAGGGAAAGGAGGGAATGGAACTACAGCCCTATGAGTCACAAGCTCTTGGGCTTGTGAGGGGACCATTGGGCCACTAAAAGCAAGTCCACCTTAAATTATTTCATCTACGGACGGACAAGAATTTTTTTACAGCTCCGACTTCTTCGTCCCCACATTCCGTCATCTCCCACGCTCCGCGTGACTGTGTTAGTGTGTTAGACTTAGACCATCCCCGTCTCCGGGGCCGCCCAATTTCTTTATCCCCCTGCTTGTCATTTTTTTCCCTTTTCTTGATCTTTTCCAGTCTCATTTTTTTCTTAACCTACTTCATAACAAATTATAGAAGGTTTACCACGTCAACTTGAATTGGTAATTTGAGGACTTTGGCATATGGTTTCCATTTGTTAACGTTTATGATTTTTTAACGATAAAAGTTTATTGTAAACTTACCATGTTCATATGATGTTAAACAAGCAGATGGATATGAATTTATGTGTGCCACTTGAAAAGGAGCCAATAAAAGTTTTAGAATGTTATATGCTGTAAAAATTTATTGTTAATAAATATTGTCAAAAAATTATTTTCTATGACAAAAGTATTTTCCTTCCATAAAGATAAATTTAATTAATTAAGATTAAGAATTTATTTGATTTAAAAGAAATAGAAAAATGAAAAAGAAAGGAGAAACCATTTTATCTAATGAAATTCATATGTTAGATCATTATTTAATTTGTCTAGATAAAATCCCCTCCCCTCCCCTCTCAAACTAAGAAGCTCTAAATGTTCAAAATAGAAATGATTTACTCGTATAATCTTATCTGGTACAATAAAGTTTTACGGTTTCCCAAGTTATGGCTAGACTAAAATTGTTTTGACCGCACAAATGGTTTATTATTATTTTTAAAACAATATTTTTATTTGATTTGATTATTAAAAATATTTAATAATTATAGTTATTAATTAACAATTGATATAATAATTAATATTTATTGAAAGTTAATAATTAAATTACTCTATAAAATAATACTTTTACATATCATATTTAACTACTTAAAACAATAAAAAAATAAAAAACTAGTTTATGTTCTCTTTAAAATTTTGCATGTGGCAATACTTACACTCAAAAAAGTTATTGTAGTTAAATCTTTTTATTTTTGAAAAAGTGAAATGTAATTTATCTTATGTAATTTATCTCATATAAATTATATTTTACTTAACCATTAATTTAAAAAATAAATCTTTGATAATAAAAATTTACCTTTCATTAATAATTAAAAATAATACAATCACACAAATAAAAATTCACCTTCCATTACGCAAATTAATAAATTACACTACCACATTTCTCTTTTACTCTACATATCACGTGAGTCCTACGTCCACCCCGACATGTACATGTATATTATGAGATCTGATCCCACTGTGACATAACGTGGTGGTAATTTGGATAAACGTTGGCAAAATAATATAACCTCTTATACAAACTCACCACACAATCATTTTCAACGTGCTGATGGAAGATAAAGGTATAAAAAATATGATTACCTATGGAGAAAAGTCCTCGGCGTGTAAATTTCGTTGAAACTTGTCCTCCCTTTTCCACGCTATATATAGTCTGTACAATCAATAAACTTTGTTTTTTCCTTTTCCTTTCGCACCAAATTTAGACACTATAAACACGAGTGCCCTCTTCATATCTTTAGGGGGGATTCACTGTTCATTCTTTCCAATTTTCCTTGTTCACTATATCAAGATTTGGTCATCCTAAGAAAAGTATTCGCCTCATGTTTATAAATTGGTTGGGTAACCTATATACCCTTATAAAAAAAAAAATTACCTGATTTTATAAAAACAAAAATTAGTCAAGTAACACTATAAAATTATAATTATAATATCATATTAAACAAATAACGATTACTCAAATAAAAATAAATAAAT